GAATAAACACAAGATCCAGGTCCGATTCAACACAGTACACAAAATCCGTGATTTAGTTCCATCTGTAAAAGATGCTCTTCCAGACATACAGTACCCGGGCGTTTACAAACTAAAGTGTCTCTGTGGTAGTAGCTACATTGGAGAAACCAAAAGACATATCTCGGACCGCATCCGCGAACATAAAGCAGACTTGAAACACAGTAAGACGAACTCCTCTGCCGTGGCAGATCACTGTTACAATTCAGTGGGCTCACATGACATTGACTTCTCCAAGACGGAGGTTCTTTGCAAACCAACTGGCTACCATGAGAGATTCGTTCATGAGGCCATTCACATATACAAGCACAGAGACAATTTCAACCGAGAAGATGGATTCAGGCTTAGTAACCACTGGAAAGATGTGTTAAATCATTTCTGTTCTTAATTAATTGTAATTTTACGATGACCTTCAGACCGCAGCTCTTTCGCCAGCATTGCCTCTTAATACCTCTCACACCACGGTTAATGGTATGGTTTACAACATGGAGTATACTAGGGCTTCGCAGCTTTCTCTCTCCCCCTCCTCTGTTCCGACCATGGACGAACTCGTCCGTCTGAACGGGGCCCGTAGCTATCCGTGGTACGGAAATTTGAGGGTAAGAATCCACCCATTTTTTCGCCATATAGCATTGTGATATATAACGACTTATGGTTGGTAGCTTAGCTGATTGGAGAATATAGAGTTTATTGATAACATGAAGGTAATTTATATTTTAGTTTTTATTGGTTCACTATATAGTACTGTGAATAGCTCAGATGTGTAGTCATTTCTGTGACCAGTCACCAGCAAATCACCCAGTTATTTCAATGCTAAATTCGCCTAGTTATTTCAATGCTAAATTCTCCTGTTTTGATTTGTACTAAGTGCCTCGGTGAATGTGTATGCTCTGACTTCAACGTAACTATTTCTGTAGCAGTTACAAGCGAATGCCTTAATTTAGCTATTTCAATGCTAAATTCTATGCTAATTCCTTTTAACAATGGGTGCCTCTGCGGATGTGTATGCTTTAACTTTTAACATAGCTATTTCTGTGACCAGTCACAAGCTAATCATTCAGCCTTTTCAATGCTAAATTTTATGCTAATTCCTTCGTCAAGGCTCTTTGTTCCTCTCACACAGCTTAAAAGCCGTGATCTGAACGTGGCTCTCTCACTCCAGCGCTGTCCTACCAGACAGTCTCGCTCCCTTCACCTGATGAAGGCCGCTTGTGTTGTGGCCGAAACGTCGTGAGAATATTATTGTGTTATTTTATTTTATCAATTTATTATTTTATTCTCATTCTACGTGACTTTACCGAAAGAACCAAAGAAGATGAATCATTGCAGTCACGAAAGCTTTAAATCGAAATTTAACCGCCTCTACGGGGAGGGATTCCACACATCCTTAAGATCATTCAACAGACTTCGGGATAAGAAGGCTCAACTAATCGAGTCTCTCACCTTTCTGAAGAGATGCCGCGACTCTAAGGTAATACCAACCGCATTTACACTAACCTCTGCTGTTGCAACTTCTCTCAATGCAAAACGAATTCTAGCTAGAACTAGCTTCGCTCTTATCTCGGAAAAAATCAGACTTACACGCACCGAACTCGATCAGTTAGACAAGACACTCTACAAATCACACTTAAAAATTGACAGCAACAATGTCTACATCGGATTGGGAACATGTAGACAATATGACTACCTCTTCGGCTGCCACTATGTCGAACAAATGTAGGGACAATTTGATTTCCAAATTCAATCACCTCTCCAGCAAAAAATCGGATCCACACACCGAAAAGATAGATGTCAACAAAGTCGTAATTAATCGCAGTAACAGTTCCATTTCTGATGGTCTGAAATCCGTTTTAGCTAAAGGTCTAAACTTTGCTGTCACACCGAGACACTTACCGGTTAATGATATCATTGCCCATGTCGACGTTGCACTCAAGGGCTTGAGTCACATCTCTGCAGACGTAGCAAGATCTGAAATCGCTGCAACCCTCAAAAACGCTAAGTTGCCACCTAGCAACATCAGCAAAGACGAACGTTTTGAATTATCTCAATTAAAAAAGAGGGATGATATTGTCGTTCTCTCAGCCGACAAAGGCAATGCCACTGTCATCATGGACAAAACAGAATATAACAACAAAATTCAAGAACTACTCAACGATGGCAGCTATACAAAAATAAAAAGAGATCCCACCAACAGCCTGGTCACCAAAACGAACAAAATTATCTCTGATTCAACAGCATTAATTGATGAGAACAAACAGTTCTTGTTGAAACCCTCTGCTGCCAGACCACCAAGATTATATGGCCTTCCAAAGATACACAAAGAAGATACACCCCTTCGTCCCATCGTCTCTACTATCAGCTCCCCCACCTACAAACTGGCACGTTTTCTGGCTGATATACTGCGACCTTTCACTGGAAAAACCACCTCTGCGGTACTAAATTCTACTCACCTGGTATCGACAATCAAAGACATTTCCCTGTCCCCAAACGACCTGCTTGTCAGTTTTGATGTGGTGTCCTTGTTCACCAAAGTCCCGGTACCTGACACCATCGCTATCATTGAAGACCTGGTTCATCAAGGACTGCATACTGATGTACCCCCCCTGGTGAGACATTGCTTAACCAACACATACTTCACCTGGAATGGAACTTTCTACAAACAAACTGAGGGCACCCCAATGGGCTCCCCCCTATCTCCGGTTGTAGCCAACGTATTCATGGAAAAATTTGAAACTGACGCCATCCAGACTGCCACTCTACGCCCGACCTTATGGAAGAGGTACGTTGATGACACCTTTGTCATCTGGTCACATGGCCAGCCTGCTCTAGACCAATTCCGCGACCACATCAATTCCATACACCCAGCCATCAGATTTACCATGGAGGTCGAAAAAGATGGCAAACTACCCTTTCTGGATGTCTTAATTAAAAGGAGACATGATGGTTCAATCAGCCACTCTGTCTACAGGAAAGCTACCCATACAGATGCTTACTTGAAACCGGATTCCCACCACCATCCATCCCAGAAGAACTGCCTCATCAAGACTCTATACCATAGAGCCCAATGCATTTCCGACCAGGAACACATTACCAGTGAACTCAAGCACGTATACCAGGCTCTCAGGGCTAATGGCTACTCCGACTACACAATCCGCAAAGCCATCACTCCAGTCATGAAGAAGGATCCTCTTGTGGAGCCACTCAAAACCATCACCTTACCCTACATTGCAGGGGTCACTAAAAAGATCTCCAAAATCCTGAATAAACACAAGATCCAGGTCCGATTCAACACAGTACACAAAATCTGTGATTTAGTTCCATCTGTAAAAGATGCTCTTCCAGACATACAGTACCCGGGCGTTTACAAACTAAAGTGTCTCTGTGGTAGTAGCTACATTGGAGAAACCAAAAGACATATCTCGGACCGCATCCGCGAACATAAAGCAGACTTGAAACACGGTAAGACGAACTCCTCTGCCGTGGCAGATCACTGTTACAATTCAGTGGGCTCACATGACATTGACTTCTCCAAGACGGAGGTTCTTTGCAAACCAACTGGCTACCATGAGAGATTCGTTCATGAGGCCATTCACATATACAAGCACAGAGACAATTTCAACCGAGAAGATGGATTCAGGCTTAGTAACCACTGGAAAGATGTGTTAAATCATTTCTGTTCTTAATTAATTGTAATTTTACGATGACCTTCAGACCGCAGCTCTTTCGCCAGCATTGCCTCTTAATACCTCTCACACCACGGTTAATGGTATGGTTTACAACATGGAGTATACTAGGGCTTCGCAGCTGTCTCTCTCCCCCTCCTCTGTTCCGACCATGGACGAACTCGTCCGTCTGAACGGGGCCCGTAGCTATCCGTGGTACGGAAATTTGAGGGTAAGAATCCACCCATTTTTTCGCCATATAGCATTGTGATATATAACGACTTATGGTTGGTAGCTTAGCTGATTGGAGAATATAGAGTTTATTGATAACATGAAGGTAATTTATATTTTAATTTTTATTGGTTCACTATATAGTACTGTGAATAGCTCAGATGTGTAGTCATTTCTGTGACCAGTCACCAGCAAATCACCCAGTTATTTCAATGCTAAATTCGCCTAGTTATTTCAATGCTAAATTCTCCTGTTTTGATTTGTACTAAGTGCCTCGGTGAATGTGTATGCTCTGACTTCAACGTAACTATTTCTGTAGCAGTTACAAGCGAATGCCTTAATTTAGCTATTTCAATGCTAAATTCTATGCTAATTCCTTTTAACAATGGGTGCCTCTGCGGATGTGTATGCTTTAACTTTTAACATAGCTATTTCTGTGACCAGTCACAAGCTAATCATTCAGCCTTTTCAATGCTAAATTTTATGCTAATTCCTTCGTCAAGGCTCTTTGTTCCTCTCACACAGCTTAAAAGCCGTGATCTGAACGTGGCTCTCTCACTCCAGCGCTGTCCTACCAGACAGTCTCGCTCCCTTCACCTGATGAAGGCCGCTTGTGTTGTGGCCGAAACGTCGTGAGAATATTATTGTGTTATTTTATTTTATCAATTTATTATTTTATTCTCATTCTACGTGACTTTACCGAAAGAACCAAAGAAGATGATTTCTTGTCATTTCATCTTTTTAACTCGTTTAATTTCTAGTTTCTAATTCAATGCAGTCGTTTCTCCATACTGTGTTATTTTATCTCACTCATTGCAAGTCATTGGAGTTAAAGTGCTGTGCAGTCTCACGAGATATGAACTTTTTTTACATATATAAACGTTTAATGTGTTTTTTCATTTATATTTCAAGCACCCATAGCCATAATAATGCAATATACTGCACAGTTATTACACACTGACTCAAGACTATCAAAGTTTACTTGAATCTACGGAGTTGCCCTCACAAGGTGAGAGTCACAGACTCCACGCAGGGTGGAGGTAACAAGGTAACAAAGCCCACGCGTGGTACCTGCACGGCCTTGCGAGTGGCCTTCATCCGTCCCACGGATGCCTCCGCCTCCCTCCTCTTCTCCTCCACCGCTCGCGTCTCCGTAACGACTCCATTCTGTAAGAGACGAGGCCACCAAAGGAGGCTCAACTTCCTATGCGGCTCCCTCTCAGCCCCACCACACACGGAGCCCTCCACAGTGATCGTTCTATGACTGCCCACCAGAAAAGAGTCCAAGGAAGTCGGCTTGAAAGAAAAGAGTGCGTGAAAAGAGAATCATCCCACCATGATGGTTTATATTTAATGAGATGTTGTTGTAGTAGCACTCTTATGGGTTCAGGTCATGGTATTGTTCGCTCCCGAGTGGCTCCAAATCAACCCACGCGGGCCTCACCTTCCGTGTCTGATGCTCATCCTCCAGTGTGATGAACTTATGACCCGTGTGGTCTCCTGCGATGGTGCAGTCCCTGCACACGAGGCTGTGGTCTTGCTGGCAGTAGAACTTGAGCTCCTCTTTGTGCCTCTTGCACTTGCGTTCTTCAGGGTTTACATCTGGTGAAACCAGGACGTGGTCCTTCAACTTCGTCTCCTCCAGGTGAGGCACGAGGTGCTCTGTGCAGAAGGACATCTCCCACCTGAGGCAGGTCTTCACTGCAGGCGTCTTTCCTTCTGAACAGTGATCACAGAAAACAACACCATCAGAAGCAGCAGCAACCATGGTCTCAGTCACTCGCAGCTGCTCTATGAGATTAGCGATCGTCACGTTCCTGGTCAGCTGGGGTCGTCGAGGGAAGGTCTTGCGGCACTGTGGGCAGCAGTAGGAGTCTGCCTCCTTCCAGGCGTCCTCCAGGCACTGGAGGCAGAACGAGTGGCCGCAGCTGAGCGTGGAGGGGCAGTCAAACGTGTCCAGGCAGATGGAGCAGGTCAACTCACGGTCCACGTTCTCAGCGGGAGCTGTGCTCGCCATGACCCGAGGATGCACCCAAAATAGTTCCTCACTGTGACTCAGAGAATATATTTCAACAAAAATACTTCATGTTTATAATATTGTGAGATGTTGATGACCATTGACGAGGTGTGTTCTGTTCAGGAGACGCTGTGTGAGCAGCTCACACAGCGGAGACGAGCAAGGAAATGAACTTGACTTCACCTGCAGTTAAGTTATAAATACCTCGAGACACGCCCTGGAATGTTCCACACGGCGGCCGTGCTCACCTGTGTAGACGTGGCGTTACAGTCAAGCACTGTATTAGCTAAAACTGATTTGTATTTAGTTTGTCCTTCCCCTGTACTTCCGATTAGCACGGTTGGCTACGTACGGTGTGGAAGAAGTTCAACATACATACATAGCTTTGACTGGTCTCAAGTGATATAATATTTGTACAACCAAAACCCAGCAGCAGCAGCCAGGCACACAGCGATAATGGTTTGTCCCACAGGCTGATTGACCGGCTCGGGTCAGGCTGTGTGCATTGCACACAGTGGAACCGCACCTTGTACAGACATTCTGATGTAAAGATTAACTTTATTTTTTTCCCCATCTGTGTCTTTTTCCATTTTTTTCTTGCGATGCCTGTTTGTTTAAGCTTCAAAGTCTGTAATCGTTTTCAACCTTTATCAACTAATATTTAACTACTGGCTTCATGCGACCTCTGTTTATCCGTGAAATATTTTTTTGGTTATTTTTTCCTACGACACCGTTTTATTCTGGGTGGATGGTGGTTGTATGTATGCTAATCGTAGGTCTGTAGGTATGCGAGTGGGATAGTGTGTGGACGAGTGGGTGAGTGGTTGGGTGAATGGGTGAGTGAGTGGGTCAGTATGTATGTTGAACTTATTTCGCAGCGTACGTAGCCACTCGTGCTAATCGAAGGTGCAAGTGGGTGGTGGTGGAGGTTGAGTGAGTGGGGGGTTACTTGGTGAGAGGGGAGACAGATGGGCAGGAGGATGGCGTGAAGGGTGGACGAGCAGGAGGTGATGGAGGGAGGAAGGGTGGCTGGGAGGGCGTGCGGTTGAGTGCTTGGGTTCCTGGGTGGGTGGCCTCACGCATTACCACAGCGAACAACCCCTGGCTAAACAAACATCGTCGTTCATTTAAGCTCGTTATCGACATGACTTTCACTGTATATTTTCCTATTATGTAAAAAAGAGGTCTTAAATCTTCATAACATAAAAATGATATTTTCATCACCTATTGTTAATGTTAACATTTTACATCTTGGACTCGCTGAGTTTGGCGGGTTCTATATATATTAAAAAATGACTTGGCCACAAATGATAGCTCAACGACAACGTGGTTTATGACGTTAACATTTCTAGCAGCCAAACACTCTAAACGCACGTTTCTAAGTGTGTGTGGTGGGGGGGGGAATTGGAGGACCCGAAGAGAAATCCAAGCCACCATGGAGAGAGAGACACGCAAACTCCAAGTACACGTATAGGCGTCAGGGTCGGGATCGAACCCACGCCCTCCCGTATACCAGGCGAGGTAGTTAACATCTTCCAGCCACCACAGCGAAATGTAAGTAATCGCAGCGAGATATAAAAATAACAGAGCAACGACAACAAGGAAACGAACTGATTTCACCTGCAGATAAATTATTAACACCTCGAGCCGTGCCCTGGAATGTTGCACGCGGCAGCCCGTACTCACCTGTGTAGGCGTGGCGTCACATTCACACACACAGTGTCAGGGTTAAAGAGTCGCAATTGAAATAATTTTACAAAACCCCCACGGCAACCATGAAAAAGGTGATGGTTTGTCTTACAGACTGGTTACACCGGCTTGGGTGAGGCTGGGGTTTTCACGGTAAACCGCACCGTGTAAATTCTTATTTAAGCTTTTAAATTGTCGGCTTTCGCGACCAATATTATTCATAAAACGTGTTTTTGGGTTAGATCGCGGAAATATAAACGTATCGTTTATCCGCCACCACGCGACACATCCAATGAGTAAAGTTTGTCACGTAAACAAAAATACATTTCGGCTCGGGTGAGCTGTAAGTTCGTATTTAATGTAAAAAAACAGATTCCCCTATAACCAGGGGTTTCAGAAACCAAAATAACAAAGAAAACACATTTTCTTGTTTTTTACAGTTCGGAAAGTTAAATAAAAAACAACCATCTTATTATTTCAAGAGCCGCAATGCAACTCGGTGTGAGTCCGAGAGACGGTGGTGGTGGTGATAAATAAAAACGTTTCACGAAGCAGCCGTCCCTCAAAGAGCCGCACGCCGCTTCGGAGCCACAGGTTACAGACCCCGTGCCCTGAACCAACTGGCGTGGCCGGCAGTAATAATAATTTAATAAATATAATTTAATTGAACATTCATAAAAATGACAAAGATTTAGCGATTTTTTTTTTACATTTTTATCTATGAAAATTTTAATTATTAAATAAGTTTCCTACTGTCACTTAAATAATAGAACAATAATATTGTAATACTTTGATGATAATAATGCAAAATGATAATAAATTTACGATGATTTAATAATTTTTCGGTAATGGTAATTTAATAATATAATTTATATTTACATTTACTAAACGCCCTTTAACAATTGCTCTCGGGGTGCTATGCATGGTAAAGCAGAAAATAGTAAACATCACCCAAGGAAAGAAGTGAGAAGGACATTTGAACATCACTAAAGGGAGAAAGACATTTTAAACAGAGACGGCTTTAGTGGAGATGTGAAGATGAGCAGCGTCTCGGTAGTCCCCTTGACCTCGAAGGGCAACGAGTTGCAGAGTTTAGGTGCCGCGATTGCCAAGGCACCGTCACCCCCCACGTGTGTAGCCTGGAGACCGTGGGACGGTGAGCAATGCACAAGCTGAGGATCTTGACGATCTTGATGGAATATTCGTGGCTGAAGGAGGTCATGAATGTAGTGATGAGCAATTCCATTTAAGGCGAGGGCGAGTCGGTTGGAGCTGACTTTTTCACGTTTGTGTCATTGCCTCTTCCTCCTGCGAGGATCTGTGTTTACGCTTTGCAGTTCTTTCTTGGTCTCAATCTCTCCTGAAAATCTGTGAAATGCGTTTATTCCTGGGGGAGTTGTTCTCCCTGGTGCATGGCCGATGGTGAGCAGTGTGTGTCGATGGTGATTGATGTGTGTATGGTGAGTGGTGTATGGATGGTGAGTGGTGAGTAGTGTGTGGATATGGGGTGTTGAGTAGTGTGTGGATGGTGAGTGGTGTGTGGATGACGAGTGGTGAGTAGTGTGTGAATATCGGGTAGTAAGTAGTGTGTAGATGATCAGTAGTGTGTAGATGATGAGTGGTGAATATATTTTATTTATCAAGGCTCACAGACAAGAAACAATTATTTTAAATTACTTTACACGGGGTTACAAACCTCACGAGGCACCCCATGGAATGTGCTCAGATGTTTGAGGAATGTAAAAGCAAGCCCCGCATCACACAAAGCTGTCTAGATGTACCTGTAGATTCGCGCCGTTGGCTTTAACCAGTGCCAACAATGGACTTTGTAAGAACATGATCACAATCGTGAAAATAACACATCCTGAGATGCGGGCTTTCGATTCCAAGCAGTCGCCTGTGATTAAACGTGGTTCTCCGGTGAAAGGAGTTGGTGGTTTGAGGGTAAAGAGTCGCAATTTATTTATCTTTACAAAAACCCCACGGTAACCAGGAAAAAGTTGATGGTTTGTCCTACAGACCGTACACCAGATTGGGTGAGGCTGTGTTTTTCCACTGTCAATCGCAGTGTAAATTCTTATTCAAGATTTCAAATTCTAAGTAGGATTTAGCGACCAATATCATCCATAAAACGTGTTTTTGGGTTAATCGCGTGAATATAAAAGTGTCGCTAAACCCGCCACCACCAATGAGTAAAGTTTGTCACGTAAACAAAACATTCCGGCTAGGGTGAGGCTGTGCGTTTTGTCCAGCAAACCACACCGCTGTAAGTTCCTATTCAAGGTTAACAAAATAAAGATTCCCCTAGACCAGGGGGATCGCCAACCAAAACAACAAGGAGAGACATTTTTACTTATTTGTTTTACAAACCCGTAAGTAAAATAAAAACGAGAGACGGTGGTGGTGATAAATAAAAACGTGGTGTGAGTACGAGAGACGGTGGTGGTGGTGGTGATAAATAAAAACGTGGTGTGAGTACGAGAGACGGTGGTGGTGGTGATAAATAATAACGTGGTGTGAGTACGAGAGACGGTGGTGGTGGTGGTGATAAATAAAAACGTGGTGTGAGTATGAGAGACGGTGGTGGTGGTGATAAATAATAACGTGGTGTGAGTATGAGAGACGGTGGTGGTGGTGGTGATAAATAAAAACGTGGTGTGAGTATGAGAGACGGTGGTGGTGGTGATAAATAATAACGTGGTGTGAGTATGAGAGACGGTGGTGGTGGTGATAAATAATAACGTGGTGTGAGTACGAGAGACGGTGGTGGTGGTGGTGATAAATAAAAACGTGGTGTGAGTACGAGAGACGGTGGTGGTGGTGGTGATAAATAATAACGTGGTGTGAGTACGAGAGACGGTGGTGGTGGTGGTGATAAATAATAACGTGGTGTGAGTACGAGAGACGGTGGTGGTGGTGGTGATAAATAATAACGTGGTGTGAGTATGAGAGACGGTGGTGGTGGTGATAAATAATAACGTGGTGTGAGTATGAGAGACGGTGGTGGTGGTGGTGATAAATAAAAACGTGGTGTGAGTATGAGAGACGGTGGTGGTGGTGATAAATAATAACGTGGTGTGAGTATGAGAGACGGTGGTGGTGGTGATAAATAAAAACGTGGTGTGAGTACGAGAGACGGTGGTGGTGGTGGTGATAAATAATAACGTGGTGTGAGTACGAGAGACGGTGGTGGTGGTGGTGATAAATAATAACGTGGTGTGAGTACGAGACGGTGGTGGTGATAAATAATAACGTGGTGTGAGTATGAGAGACGGTGGTGGTGGTGATAAATAATAACGTGGTGTGAGTATGAGAGACGGTGGTGGTGGTGATAAATAATAACGTGGTGTGAGTATGAGAGACGGTGGTGGTGGTGATAAATAAAAACGTGGTGTGAGTATGAGAGACGGTGGTGGTGGTGATAAATAATAACGTGGTGTGAGTATGAGAGACGGTGGTGGTGGTGATAAATAATAACGTGGTGTGAGTATGAGAGACGGTGGTGGTGGTGATAATAACGTGGTGTGAGTACGAGAGACGGTGGTGGTGGTGATAAATAATAACGTGGTGTGAGTATGAGAGACGGTGGTGGTGGTGATAAATAATAACGTGGTGTGAGTATGAGAGACGGTGGTGGTGGTGGTGGTGATAAATAATAACGTGGTGTGAGTATGAGAGACGGTGGTGGTGCTGTTGATAAATAATAACGTGGTGTGAGTATGAGACGGTGGTGGTGGTGATAAATAATGACGTGGTGTGAGTATGAGACGGTGGTGGTGGTGATAAATAATAACGTGGTGTGAGTATGAGAGACGGTGGTGCTGTTGATAAATAAAAACGTCTCACGAAACAGCCGCAGGTCGCCGACCCCGTGGCCTGCACCAACTGGCGTGACCGTCAAGTAATAATAATTTAATTAGTATTATTTTATTAGAATGGTATTATATGAATTTAATTATTATGTAATTGGATCAAAGCAGATACCGGAAACGCGATTTATTATTATCACCACAGATGATAATTTGGCATCTGTGGACTGACGCACATCAGAATCGAAATATTTATACTGCAGCAGGAATCCGATGACCTGTGAAGCTATTTTATAACAGATGTCCAGTAGGAGCACGGGGTAAGAACGTTACAACAACAAAAAGTACACAAATATGATAGTA